AAATTTCTTCTTGTTTTGTTTTGTTTTTAATTTTCTTCATTTGTTTATTTTGTTGGCTTTATTTTTATTGGCTTTTCGATTATTTCCTCATTTACTCGTGTTTTTTTTTCTCCGTCATACTTTTAAAGCGTTAATTTTCGTTGTTTCTCTCTCCTCTACAACTTCTCCATTATTTATAATTATTTTTATGATTATTAATATTTATTATTACTGCATTATTATCATTATTATTATTATTACTATTATTATTATTATTATTATTATTATTATTATTATTTGTCATTATTATTAATACACATTAAGAATTCACCTTACATTTGTGGTTGAACATCTGAAGCACACACACACACACACACACACACAGCCTTCACAGGGTAAGGACGCGTGTAGTCGGCGCTGCCCGTGGTCTCTTGACCATGGAGACAGCTACCAGCCAGGTTTGTCGGGCCCTCCTCTTCCCCATCCCCTCCCCATCTGGATTTATCAACATCCTCCCACCAACAGTTCAGTGCAAATGACATGGTAACATTGAATGCCGGTCTGTTTTAAAACCTGTTGATTCTTATTATACTTCACGCCCGCAAAACATGTGGACTCTGGTTAAGTTAGCCCTAGGAAGAAACTCCCAAATCCACCAGGGTGAGGAACTATGAATTCCTAACTACATCATATAAGGAACAAGAACCATCTCCAACACCCTGTGTGAGCTGGAGGACCTACCCGGACCACTTGGTACATCTGCAGCTGTAGTGAGGTAGCGGCTGAGCAATCAGGTACAACGGCCATCAAGACAGTGGGAAGCACTTAATTGGCGCCGACATCAGGTCACAAGAATGTCTACAGACCAGCTCCCACAGTACCAGATCTAAAGTTAATCTATATGTTGACTCAATGTTTCTTATCTGGAAGAACAAATACTGATAATGTATACAGCCTTAACAACATCAACCTAGAGAAGTCGACTTGTGAAAGAGACCTAGGGGTACTTGTAAGCCCGAACCTACGGCCTAGAAAACAGTGCGTTAATGTTCGAAATAAGGCAAACAGAGTATTGGGTTTTATATCTAGAAGTGTAAGTAACAAGAGTGCAGAGGTCTTATTGCAACTATATCTTGCGCTAGTCAGGCCGCACCTCGATTATCCGGTTCAGTTCTGGTGCCCCTATTATAGAATGGATATCAATTCACTGGAGTCTGTGCAGCGAAGAATGACGAAAATGATTCTGAGACTTAGAAACCTTCCATATCAGGATAGGTTAAAGAAACTTAACTTGCATTCCCTAGAAAGACGAAGAGTGCGGGGAGATATGATAGACGTATTTAAGTGGGTGAAAAGAATCAATAGGGAATATAGATAAAGTTCTTATAATATCCGAGCAGAATAAGTTCGTAACCTGATTCTGACAAGGACTTAAACTCTCGACAGGGGCTGCCATGCACAGGCCAACCAGCCTATTGCAGACTCATTTTCTTATGTTCTTATGTATTGAAAGTTTTTGTCAATCAAGTGACCCACTCCCAGATTCCACCATATGTATCTTATCATCTCTGTTCATTGTATATTTTCAGCCTTCGGGCTGCCATGTTTTAATAAACCGTTAATTATTATTATTATTATTTACACACACACACACCTGCAACTCCTAAACTAATTACATATTTTTTTCTTACAGATTACATATACCTGAGTGTCTTGATTAAAGATTACATTAATACCTGCGTCTCATATTCGGTAATCACACACACTTGAATTTCTTATCAAATTACAATATAAATTTGCTTATACACACGTCTTACTTGTCAGATGCATCGGAATATACTTATCTTGCTTGATTATTGAATATACCTGAATATACTTACCTAATTATCAATATACATGGAAATACCTGTCAGTCTTACCTATGTTTTACCTAATTATTAATACACCTGACTATACCTTTAAGTCCTTATTATAAAAACAGTAAAGAAATGAGCAACTATCATATTTCACCGTGAGATTATCTCTGCTCTGAATCGTAGGAGAGTGTGTGTGTGTGTGTGTGTGTGTGTTAAGTGAGGGGTACGGGAAATGCCGGCTACTTCAACCCCCCCACAGGGATACCATGTCTTCCTCTTGTTGGTGGGCGGTCAGTGGGTGGGCTAGTGGGTGGTGAGTGGGTGAGCTAGTAGATGGTCAGTGGGTGGGCTAATGGATGAAAAGTAGGTGGGCAGTGGGTGGACTAGTGGATGGTCGGTGGGTGAGCTAGTGAGTAGGCAATGGGTGGGCTAGTGGATGGTGAGTGAGTGAGTGGGCTATCGGGTGGTCAATGGGTGGGCTAGTAGGTGGTCAGTGGGTAAGTTAATGGGTGGTCAGTGGGTGCGCGAGTGGGTGGGGGGTGGGGGGTGGGGGGCAGAGCAGACACCATTGCCTTACATCTATACTGTACACAATGTCTCACCACTACTTAACCGTAAATACTTCTTAGTCTGTCAAAATTCTCAGTCAATTGTGGCATAACGAACTGGTCTTCCAAAAGGTTCAGGGAGGGTCACACACACTACGGGTCCTTTGTACAGGAAAACAGAAGTACAGTACTCGTAGAAATGCTGTCAAGGCGTTGGGTAGTATGACACCGGATAAGTATTCTTCTGAGTTCCGACATAAGAGGGTATCGAACCAGAGACATGTGGTGTGTAAGGCAAGCGTGCTATTGCTCTTTCACCAACACATACACATTACAACTCAAACAAATGTAGAATGACGATTACCCCTTTGTTGATAGTGCTTCCAGTTAATTTCTAAAAGTTGTCTTCTCTATAAGCCCTACCCGAGAGCATAATTATATCACCGTTTTCAAAAGGGTAAGATATCGTACTCAAAGGATTAAATCATTGTACTCTATAGGTCAAGTTAAGATATCCAATTCCCTTGGCTATTTCATTGACCCTGTTGGTTGGTCACGATATTCAAAGGACTAGAATTTTTCTTATCTGGCTCACATTAGAACTACCGATAGGAAAGTTAATTACTGGTGTGTACAAAATATTTAGAAATGTTATTGTAACGAAGAACTCTGTTATAAATGTCACTTTGTAGAGCTGACGCCAAAATATAATCTTTATCTCTCCTAAGCCGCTGCTGCTACTTCATGTTGTATCGTTCAGGAGTCTGCCATAGTGTCATAAAAATATAAGAAAATAAGGAGTCTGCAATAGGCCGGTTGGCCTGTGCATGGCAGCTCCTGTCGAGAGTTACTACCACTCTCTATCATCCATGTATCTATCCAGCCTCCTTTTAAAACTTTCCAGAGTTCCAGCACTTACTACAAAGTTGCTAAGCTTGTTCCACTCGTCCACCATCCTATTTGTGAACCAGTTCCTTCCTATCTCCCCCCTAAACTTAAACTTATCCAACTTAAATCCGTTGCTACGACTCCTATCCTGCTCGGATATTATAAGAACTTTATCTATATCTCCTCTATTGATTCTTTTCACCCACTTAAATACTTCTATCACATCTCCCCGCACTCTTCGTCTTTCTAGAGAATGCAAGTTTAGTTTCTTTAATCTATCTTGATATGGAAGGTTTCTAAGTCTCGGATCTTTTTCGTCATTCTTCGCTGCACCGAATCTAGTGAATTGATATCCATTCTATAATAAGGGCACCAGAACTGAACCGCATAATCGAGGTTCGGCCTGACTAGCGCAAGATATAGTTGCAATAAGACCTCTGCACTCTTATCACTTACACTTCTAGATATAAAACCTAATACTCTGTTTGCCATATTTCGAATATTAACGCACTGTTTTCTAGGCCATGTTTGGGAGACTTGAAGACGTAAGTGTAGTTTGAGTACTTTGACAATACTGCGATCATAAAGCGGCAAAGACAAGATGATCGTTATTTTCTGGTTAAATTATTTTTTTTACTGTTATATACAGTACATAATGATTTATGTACGAGTAATTTAGTTAAGGATATAACCGCAGCGAGCTTACTAGTGTACAGTAGTATATGATATACAGGTGTACGTTCTTGACATGTGTTTATCAGCTGCCGTGGAACATGAGCTGAAGTGAACCATGAAACAGTGGGTCATCGAAACAGCTAGGTGTTGCCATAACATATAGTGGCAATACAGCAACAGTACAACGGGAAACGCCAGGAACACCCAAAAAATCCTGTATCGTTTGTTGTTACGTATTACTGAACGTATCATTATTCGTATCATTACAATCATCATTATGTAACATGGCATTGAATAATTTCTCTGGTTTCATGTAAATGTTTTTCTTTCAAAAATCCTCCATAAATCAAAATACTGTAATACGAAATATTTTAATCATATTGTCGAATATCGGGATGATGATGATAATAATAATAATAATGCAAGAATTAACAGGTAAAGTGTCAACGTAAAACCTCAAAATATCTGACTTTCTTTTCTTTTAACCAACGGTATATAACAGAAACATCATATTTCTTACTAGTCGTGATTTGTGGGTTTACAGCAGCGTGGCGTTCAACCATCTATATTTACATCAGTCACGGGGTAACTACTCTAAAACGAATACACACGCACACACAGGCCTGTCGCAGTCTAAACACAAAAAAATTGGGTATGCTAAAACGCACATGTTTCCACCCCCTTAGAGATTCTTTCCCTCCCAACGCCACTCGACTTTTAATTCTCACCTCACACCTCCCTTGTTAGTACAGTAGGAAAACTGCCATGTTTGTAGGGTCATACTGGATAATACCCTCCTCACGTCTGTCCTGGGATCGACCCCAGTACACAGTATGAGATCTGTACGTAACCATTGTACCACCAGCATCACCGCTTGCCTATTCCTTCCTTTATTCCTATTTATTACTTAACATTCACATCCGTCTATTTACCCTCTCATCGTCTGTGTCCCCAGGAACTGTCCCCCTCTACCTACATTCACTTCATCCCATGAGCCTGTAGACTGGCACACATCCACACAAACGAGTACTGCGGCTGCTGAGCTGATTGGTACCTAGATGGTGAGTTGGTCCCTCACAAAGCAGCTGCAGATCCTCGCTCACACGTCAATCCGTCCAGCCCACCAGACACCTTTCACCAAATCAACCACCTACGACGATGACTGAGACGTTAAGATGTGGAGGAACACCTTACTGGTGCTGCCAGTGTCTGAGGTTCACTGTGTCGAGGCCTGTAACGGGTGCTGGTACCGGACGGACGCCTACACCGGTGTCTGTCTGTCAGTTGGGTGGAGGAAACGCTCCCTCAACATAATTACAAAATCGAGAGGCCGTCTCACCCATGTCGATATATTTTTTCCTTGAAGCTACGAAACCAATAAGTTATTTCGGTTTTTTTTTCAAGTAAAATAAATTAAATATATCTGCTTTATCCATTTATCTTAGAAATGCTTATTTATATTATATTTCGTTGTTCCTCCCTCACTGCCGCTCCCCACGTGGTAAATAAATCCTTGGGACTTTTCAAGTGATCTTTTTCTGCGTCTTCCACGTTACCTATAGCAGCATTGCCGCAACTACTTATGCCAGGGAAATAAATACCCTGATCTGTGAGCGGGTACATACCGTAAGGAGAGAGACCAGCCGTGTTTTCACTGTGGTTCGGACAAGAGGGAAGCGCAACCTCCTCACCTCAACACATCTGACACTTAACTGGTGGACTTGGTCGGCCCGAGTAACACTAACACTGCCAACGAACCCAAGCTCTTCTGTTGATGGAGGTTGGCAACACCTCGTCAAAACCGTATTGCTGGTCAACCGTAGAAATTAACAAGTAAAAATTAACTTTAAAAATGTTTTCACTTTGAGATAATTACCCACATTATATAGAATTACTATACCAACCATGAGATAACCTTGAAATCAACTTATTTTTACGAGAGAAAACTTCGTCGGCGAGAAATTTATGGAGTCCCCCATGCTTGGCAACTCGACCGGTTCACCAGTATGTGGAGAATGACGCAACACTACTGGAAGCGAGTGTCATTATAACTCCCTTAATATTGTTGATTGTTGGTGTCTAACTCGTAATCTAGTTCCGAGTGGCTACTTCTAAGCCTTAATTTTTGAAGTTCAGTAATATATTATAACATTATCAACACCTTGGGGCCTTGTTTTACATCACTAGACTAGGATAAAAGTAAGTTCAAATAGTAGTAGTTTCAGTAGTAATAATGGTAGTGTCAATACCATTACCAACATTAATCGTAGTAGTAATAGTAGTAGAAAATTTAATAATAATAATCATCTCGGTGTAATTATGAAGTTCTCTTTTTACCTCTGTCCTTAAGCCGTTCTTCAAGTGAATCAGTCGACGCTTTCTTCCTGCCATCTGTTAAGAGAAAACTGCAAATAACGAAACTTTGTTAGATATACGAAGAAATATGAAGCAAATACAAACAAAGAAAACGAATTGGTGAGACCGCAAACTAAAGAAAAAACGTTATAATAGATAGATAGATATACAAAGAGTGTGTAGTGGAATTCTCCCCTACAAACGCTGTTTGTCGCTGCCTAGCCGACCCCACCAATTCCCCAGTGTATGCCTCGTGGTCTAGGTCAACCAGCGCCGCCATACACCACGGAGCGGGGGTCAACTGCTAAGCCACGCCTACCCCCGCTATTTAAGACCTGACCTCGTGGTGATCTGTCTCTCTTTCTACCTACACCAACCAGCCAGCAACACCTCCGCCTGCCTGGCGGTCCTCTCTCCCGCTGGCGAGCATGGCGACCCACAAGCTGTCCTTCTCTGAGCGTCCTAACCAACCAGCTCTCTCTACATCACGCTTGTAACCATGCTGCCTTTCCAGCACCAAGCTGCATTGTACATCCAATACAACATGTATATAGAGAGCACATTGTGAGTTTCCTTTCTCCATCCAATCCTGAGTGTGAACCAAACAATTTCATACCCCACAAGTGTCTAGAAACGGCGGAAACTGCAAACAATGGTAAGCAGTCAGGCGATTCAACCTAACAATGCCACGTTACGAGGACAGATCAACAGTGAAAAATTCTTAACTCTGTGTGTGTGTGTGTGTGTAATAATAATAATAATTAACGGTTTATTGAAAAAGTTCTGCAGCCCGAAGGCTGAAAATATACATTGGACATAAATGACTTATTACATACATTGGTGGTTTAACAAAAGCCTTCATTAGAGAAAGGTAAAGGAACATACAGTGAACATACAGATTATTGTAGGTGTTGAACAGCAAAAACGTAGTGTAGTAACTCCCTCCCAGATGGTGTTAGGAAGAACTCACGTGGTGTAGTAATTCCCTCACAGATGGTGTTATGAGGGGCCTCACGTGGTGTAGTAATTCCCTCACAGATGGTGTTATGAGGGCCTTACGTGGTGTAGTAATTCCCTCACATATGGTGTTATGAGGGGCCTCATGTGGTGTAGTAATTCCCTCACAGATGGTGTTATGAGGGGCCTCACGTGGTATAGTAATTCCCTCAGAGATGGTGTTATGAGGGGCCTCACGTGGTGTAGTAATTCCCTCACAGATGGTGTTATGATGGGCCTCACGTGGTGTAGTAACTCCTTCACATATGGTGTTATGAGGGGCCTCACGTGGTGTAGTAATTCCCTCACAGATGGTGTTATATGAGTGAGGTGTGGTTCCAGGCCTTCCTATCGTAGACGGATTAACACATCGCTGGTTGTTGGGTCTCACGGGCCGTTATCACTGGGTACCTGGGACCTCACTGTGTGAAGGTCAACTTGGGTACCACTGTTACTGTTGAGTTGTTCTCACTGACTTAAGCACTGTTCACCACTGTTCACCTCTGTTTAACACTGGTTCCATTCCTTTCCTAAATGAAATAGTAACTTCTGGCGAGAACATGTTGATATTCCGGTGGGGAGGAGGGTTCAGGGGAGGGAGTTGGTATGGGCCAACATAACAGTTGACCTGGCTGCTCCGAGAGGAGCACCAGGTACGTCTTGACCCTTCGGTGGTCAAGGATGTGTGTGTGTGTGTGTGTGTAGAAGACAGCAGGTGGTGTGTGTGTGTGTAATAATAATACTAATAATAATAATTAACGGTTTATTGAAAAAGTTCTGCAGCCCAAAGGCTGAAACAATACACTGGACATAAATGACTTATTACATACATTGGTAATTTAACAAAAGCCTTCATTAGAGAAAGGTAAAGGAACATACAGATTAATGTAGGTGTTGAACAGCAAACACGTAGTGTAGTAACTCCCTCCCAGATGGTGTTAGGAGGAACCTAAAAAAAAAAAAAACTTGAAGCATCACATGAGATGACCAGCTGAGACTCAAAGACCGATCCTGAGAGAGAACAAGAAAGCACAAAATAAGTTGGAAAAGGAAATATGTCAGTAAATATTGTACTTCTATTCCTAGATTTACCATTGTCATTATTGTTATTATCATTTTCATTATTGTAATACAGTAATATAGATACTTATTTCCAATAGATTATGTAATAGGTTAGGCACGTTTGTGACTAGAGGTTAAATAAAATAATTTATATTCATTAATTTAGTTGCATTTTAATCAGTCTATTCAGTTGGCTATCCATACAGTCATCACGAGAATAATATAAATTTATATGGTTCACTATTTCCAAAAAGAAGGCTAAAACAACTGAACTGTTTCTATTCATCTGTATATCATTTACTGTACAGGTATTTACAATTTGCCAAAAGACGAATTTCTTTAATTAATAAAGATCTTCAGAGGTAATCTTGCAGGGAGGGGGCGGGGGTAGAAGGGGCAGCCTATATAATGAGGAGTTTGAAAACCTTGAACCTGGCACAAGAAGATCACATGGGGTTGGAGTTGTTTGTGTATGTAGTATGTGGTCTTAGTTTGTGTGTGTACGAGGGAGAGAGAGAGCCTGCCTGTGCTCGTGTGTGTATGTATGCGTAAGGGAGATTTGTGTGTGTGTGTGTGTGTGTAGAGGAGAGACACTTCAACAAGCTTGATGGAGATGTGTTTTAGGGAGTGTGTGTGTGTGTGCATGGTGTAAGTGGCATGTGTGCGGGGGATATACGTGTACAGTATATACTTTTAGGATAACGTTTGTGTGTATATATAATATATATACACGTGTTTGTAATGTGTGTATGTACATGCATGTGTTTGTGTGTCTACATAATAAAAGTTAATCACTGACATGCCTACTTATCTATTTTCCCACCTGTCCTCGAGTTGGCTCATATCACTGTGTACAGTACTCCTTTTGTTGGTCCACAACCACATCAAACAACAGTTCTTGGTACATGACAATAGTAGTAATATGATATACAGTACAGTACAGTACGTGACAAAACAAGATAAGCAGGGACTAAATTGGTTAGGGATGGTGTAATCAGGCCTTCATAGCAGCTTCTTATGGGTGTTGAAGATCACTGTGGCTAGATATATGGAGCTTAATTATGGTGAGGGAAGGCGGGAGTGTTGTGGTGTTGAGTGTGAGAGAAGAAAACTTTAAAATATTTGAATTGAATGAATTTTTTCACCACCATCCTCATCATCATAACTAACATCGAGGACAGCCCTATCAGCATCTTTATCTCTGTCGTTTATATCCATATTATGCTCCCGCTCTTATAATTACTACCATCGCCATCTACCTAGAATTATTGTTTGATGTGAGTGTGGATAAACTTTTAACAACAATAGGTCTACATGGTGATAAGATGTAGAAAGGTGGTGAAGGAATAAAGGATATAGGTGGTTTAACGGTAGGTGAAGGATTTATATAAGGTCTGGAGTATGGTGCTCAAACTTTAAAATATTATCTATAAAAATATTGGAGGATGAGGCATGTACCTATGTAGCTTTATCTTTAATAAACATTTATGAGATCCGATGGTTGAAGACTAGTAAGTTCAGTTTGGGCAAGAGAGCTGATGAAGATTTAAATTATAGTGTGTGTATTAGAGGAGCAACAAGTCTTATAAGAAAAACAAATAAGTATACTATTTAACGTAAGTAAATTAAGTGAAGGAACATAGAAGTGTTATACAGATGCACAGATGATCAAGTGTACCTGACTCCAAACCATATCTTACAACTGTAAGTGGGTGCCAAGACAAACTATTGGGCATTCCCCATACTATTATCTCTATCTCTCTGGTTCCGTTTCTTCCCTAACGAGTGAAAGCTTGGCCTCCCTCACACTCCTGCCCCTGCTGACTGAGGCACCTGTGTACTTTGCTTCAGTTTCCCTTCAATTAATACATCAGTATATATATATAATAATAAAAATTACTGTACAATAAGTACAGGTACTCCTCGACTTACGACCACCCGGACATACGAACGCCGAAAACGTATAAAATAGTTTTCAAATTACGTAGTTTCGAGTCCCGACGTTAGTGATTGCGTTGTGTACTGACAAAATTTTCGTTTGTAATTCCCTTTAAAAGGGTTGGCAAGCGTAAAAGTGAGAGTTCTCGTGGTGCTGAGAAGAAAAAGAGACACCCATTTTAGATTCTCTATGCATTATTTTCGCATTTTCGACTTACGACCTGGTCGTCGGTCCCTAACCCCGTCATAAGTCAAGGACCGACTGTATACCCTAAATTTTAGTACTAAATAAATAAAAATAATACAGTGGTTGGTCTTATGTTTTTCATTAACACCACTTCTTATAATGAAATCGCTAGCACTCGAAACACTACCAAGTGAAAGACTTGAGAATAAAAAGAAATACTGACTTATAATAAAGGCTACAATAAGTGACAGTTCGACTTCTAATCATTCATAGACCTGCTTGAATCTTGGTGTGCACTTTATATCTGAAACTGCAGATTTTTTTAGCTTTGACTGTACACCTTCACAAGTAGATATTCATTAAAACAGCCTTTACAGTATCTACATTCTTCCCCACAATGGTACATATTCCTTGTATATCTACCAATTATTCTTGTCACTTGTACCCTTTAACTGTTTTCCTAGTTTACCAGTGATATCACAGCACCAATAGGTTTCATTTTCTCCAGTCTTGTAAACTCTCTCCCACTAAACTGCAGGGTGGCAGGAAATGGGAGTAAACATGAAACTCTCCTCTATTTCCTATGCTCCATACTGCTGTGTCATCCTTACATACCCTACAATATTTTCTTTAAGCCTCCCAAAACATCTGCTAAGATGATAAAAGAGGAAAATGAAAACCAAAGTCATATTCATAATATTTGGTATATTGATATAACATACAGACAAATATTTGAGACGGTATATGGTGTGCAGTTCTACAGAGTTATGTTGAGTTTAATAAATGAAATTGAAGACAGTTGAATAAATAAATTCCATACTGAAAACATCTCATTAAATACACACTGTATGCAAAACAGGATATATTAAAGAATTTGTTTTCGATGATAGGGGAATGAAACATGCAGAAATTGAAATATATTAATATGCTGTATATCTTGGTGAGCAGAAGTAAATATAGTCTAAACAGTATTAGCTTAGCAATTGGTATATTATATCTCTGCTGGATACATTATTCACTGGCCAGTCAAAGGCTCTGCAGGTATAACATAAAGCAACTGGAGCACTCTGATTGGTCCAGAATTATTAGGAATTATTCCTCATTCCCAAACACTCAAATTGGCAATTCTTATATCCACGTCATCCATGACGTTCCTCTGAAAGCTTGTACAGTACACAACTCACATTTATATAATAATAAATTGAAATATAAAGAGCAACAAATATAATATGAACATCTGATTAGCTTAAAAAGTGATAAAAGCCTATGTAAAAATAAAGGAAGAAAGGAAAAAACTCTTGAGACAAAGAAAGCTCTTACACCATGGATATTTTACTATTATATTTGTTATTCATAAGTATCTTCTCCTGCCTCTTCTTTTCATCCTTGAATGCAGCTCTATTCAATTTCTTTTCAATACGTCTCTCCTGGAAAAATTAAAAAAAGGTTAATATCAGCCATTCAATCTCCTCGTCGGATATTTTCACGATGATGATGAAGGAGAGGAACACAGGGGACTTAAAAAACTTCTAAGCAATTTGTTTGCTGTGGGTACCATCAGTAGAGCATCATTTCTTTTCAAGCAATGCAGTTTAAGAGTCTAAAACCAGCTACCAAAGACACTGCACATCAACAATGTTCCTCTGTTATAAGGAAATTTACTTGCATGATACCTGTTCTGACACTTTTTAAATTTTGCTTCTTATAATAATACTGTATCCTCATACAATTCTTGATGAGATATACAATGTGTATACCCCATCATCATCATAATCCTGATCATCATCATCAATATTATTCCATTCCTTACTACATAAGAGTGAACAAGTATATCGAGCTTCAACTAATCTAAATGTGTATTTCCTCAACTTAAGGTAAAAGTAACATGGTATTAGAGCTGTCCACTTTATACTATTGTAAGTTGTTAATAAGATTTCTGCTTCCATTCACTCTTACACTTTCAAAAGTAATTCTTCTCCACAGTCTGCAACCTCTTGTACACTCCACCGACTCATTCCTAAACCAAAACAGCTCCCTTACAAAATCAACCCATCCCTTCTCACCTATTTTCCATCTTTCTCATCACCTTCAGTCATCATTCATTATGCAACCTACAGATACTATCCTGACATTCTTTCTTCCATACATATTCCTACATTTCTCATGTTTTTATTCTGTACCTCCTCCTCCTCATCATCATCATCATCAACTACAATGATTTACGGCCATTTTCCAAACTTGCGTGATTTAGCAACAATTACTGAATGACACCTTTCCATGCTGCAAGGTCTTTTGCAATCTCTAATGTCATTTCTTACAACCTCTCCTTTTAATGATTTTATGATGTTACAAGTTTACATCCATAAAGAATGGGTGAAACAAGTACTGTACTCACTCATGCAAGCATTATGATGCTTTCTCAGAGGGGGAAAAATATTTTGTATTTTATATGACAAGTACAGTCTCTCCTCGACTTACGACGGCCATGGTCGTATAAAATATTTTTCACATTACGTATTTTCGAGTCCCGACGTTAGTGATTGAGCTGTATACTGATAAAATTTTTGTTTGTAATTCCCTTTACAATGGCTGGCAAGCGTAAAAGTGAGACACCCATTTTAGAATTTCTATGTATTATTTTCGCCTTTTCGACTTACGACCTGGTCATCGGGACAGAACCCCATCGAGAAGAGACTGTACAGTACTGTATTATATCACATATAAGACACACAGCCATATAAGACGTTCCTCCCATTTTAGCAGGGAGTATTTAAGAAACTTAATTGTGTGGATTTTCCTGATACCCGGAATATTCCGGGAATGGGGTAGCTTTTTCTGGGTTCGAGAGATGATGCAATTGGCAATTTCTGGGACTTCCGAGAAAATGTTTCCGTTACCCGGAAAATTCCGGGGATAAGGGATTTTTTCCGGCTCTGAGAGAGTCGTCTCGTTACCCGGAAATCTCTCATTCCCGGAAGTGCTCTGCACCGATTGTTCCGAGCTTTTATATTTACAATAATTTTTTTATTATTTAAAAATAATAATAATGTGTTTTAGTAAGCAATAACATATTTTTAATTCTGGAGTTGGGTTAGGTAGAATTTAGTCTCCTGGAGACAGCAACTGGGGGATTAATTAGCTTACAGGAGGCATTAACTTCACATATAGGATGCAGGCCTTTTTTTTGCCATTTTTCAGACAAAAAAGTGCGTCTTATATGACGTATAATACGGTAATCAGGATAATTACTGACAGCCTTCAACTTACCCTCCGGAGTTCTTTCAAAGCTTTCTTTCTAAACCTTCGTTCCTCTGTGGTCTCCCCAGGAGGCCGAATAGAGATAGCGGACATACTTGTAATCAGTGTCTGTGTCTCCAATTGAGCGTCATCTGCAGAACAAAAGAAAGCCATGAGGGTTTTGAAAGATTTTATAATAATTTCCCAACAAACTGCTAACCTTTGTGTTGATAAAAAGTCCACCATTCTTCCCAAAATCTGTCTGAGAACTTTTATCCCATTTCATATCATATTTGTATTAAATAACAAGTGACCTGAAAGTCATATTTGGTGATATAAATGGTGAAAGCAGCTAAAAGAACAAGAAATTTATTATACTTTTGGTTAGTAGGATTACTGATGGGAGAAAATTTCATCTGATTTTGAATGTATATGAATCACATGTATGGTGAATGCAAAACTACAGTACAGTATATGGAATTTAGCCTAATTATATTTTTCTCTCTTACACAGCCTCTAGTTTAAAAACCCAGTGTACTGTATCAATAATCCTCATTCCAGGCCTTCCAGTTTCTCCATATAAAAGAGGTAATGAAGATACAACCTGCCTAAAGAAGCCAGTATTACTTTCGTGAGAACAGAAATGCATACCCGATCCAGCAGCAACTTTGTCATGTTGGGCTAAGTTCTTTCTTGTCAATCCACCAACTCCGTGATCTATCGGAATTCCAGTCCGTGGATCAACTGCAATCTTCTTGCGACGTGGAGGGTCGGTAATTGTGCGTGGGTGATTGTATAAGGTGGAATTAGTGGTCAGGATTGATTCACAGTCCCACTTTTCCCCGTGTTCATCATCTGACAATTCCACCTGAAGAACAACAACACACCGTCAACTTCAAGTACAGTAAGATTTTGTATTTCTCGAGTAATATAGACTGGAAAAATTGTGCCAAATTAAAATTCGCCAAATGCAAATACATAAACTAATGGGAAAATAACAATATAGACTGGCCACTCTACATCAACCTCTGATTTTCCTATTTATAACCTCCAAATGATACAAATTCTGCCTTATTTGACCTGATTGTGCTTTCCGGAAACTAGTTTTTAGGCCTTCCTCAAGTAACTTAATCACACGCTGCTTATCCTGCTTCGAGTACTTGGCAAACTTAACTCCCTTATGACAGTCCCGCTTCTCTTCTTCCTCATTTGGCCGCTTAGGTGGGTCTGTCCCACCCCCACCAGCACCAGTAGGACCCCAAGTAAAGGTAGAGGCCATTATCTTGACTCAACAGGTGGTAGTACCACCCAAAAAAGTACACAATAGCAGCCCGGGCAGTCGCTAGGATGGCGCGGGCTACAACGCGATAGTTGCATTCTTGTAAACCTCTTTTACGTTGACCATCGGCAATTCGATTACCAGAACACCTCCTGGAAACATTTTTCTTACCTTGTCTTTCCATATTCATCGCTAACACAACAAAATTGGAGAAAACAGCGAAAATCACACAGCAATCGACAGAAACTGCGTGATTCAACTGATCATGTGATGTAAACAGAGCGCTAGTATAAACCGTTATTAGTCCTCGCTGCGAAACATTCTTTTTACTTATTCTTTTCATACAGTATTTATGGGTAACAGCTAAATTTGCAAAAAAAAGAACAAAATTTACACAGTACCTCTCAAAAAACACTTCACAAACAAAAGACACGAATCAATTGAACATGTGATGTCGAACGTAAACTGTAAACAGTGCATAATCCCGCGCCACGCTAAAACGTTGAAGATGGAATCAAAACATTGAGGATGGAATCACTCTATAACCAACATTCGTCTGCAAAAGTTTGCGCTTTACAAACAGCGTTCCCCTATTCATCAATCGCGTTACAACCAATTCGCGTTGACAAAACACTTGTTGTAGTAGATATGATTGTAACTGGTATGAGGGCTGTGACGTCATTCAAGACGGTTGCCAGCATTCAGCTTGCTGGATCTTGCATTCAGCTTACTGGATCTTGCATTCAGCTAGCTTGATCTCGTTAAATTCAAGATATTTTAAGCCAAATATAAGACTTGGTTACATTAGGTAGTGCTCGCGAAATTAAAAAACGCGAAATATGAGATCTTACTGTACATTAGAGATATCCGAGATCAATCAAGACTTTGACTTCTCTGCAATGAAAGGATCAATATGCTCTTAATAACACAAGCAAACAGTTTCACCTTACCCATGACATGATTTGCAGTATTAACAAGCTTTATACAAAACTTTTTCTGAAGGGTATCCAGTCTAATTCTTGTAAACTCTCTACTTTTCAGCTAACTACAGTATAAGAATTTCACCTTCCCCTTCCCCTCAACATTACTGCCCTATTACACCCTATCATATCACCATTCACACAAACCCAAACTCCACCTCACCAAGAATATGGTATTGCACCCGAATTTTGGGTCCCCCCCCCCACTAATCCTACACACAGTTTCATAAATAAATTAAAATTATTCTTTTACAATTAAATACTACATCTAAAGGTATGCAGTATCATTTACAATATTTATCATAGCTGAACCCATCACTGAATTGACATCAATAATTATTTTCTCTCGTGCAACAGCTGCCAGAAGGTAATTGTTGCCAACCCACGCAAGCATAAAAAATGGCCGTAAAACATTGATAATGCTGATTTATAATTAAAAGAAATGTCACAAGCAAATCATTGAAAAGTGTCCAATAATTTGTTATATAAAATGATGCAACGAGTCTTTGTCAAATTTGAACAAAATTTAGTCATTGGTTTAGAATATATGATTGGGAACACTTCCCTGACATATGCATGGGTTGGCAGACACAGTATGTTCTCCTGTCTTCAGGAGATGAGCAACAATACAAACTGAAGTCACATTAAGAAAGTTTCCTCCTCACCTCATCCTTCTCCTCCTTCATATTAACTCTTCTGTCTTGCATGTCTTTAATCCACTTGATAATCCTGGTACGATCGTCCTCAGTGTCCTCCTGCAGCTGCTTGTGAGTCTGCTCTAAAACTTGCTGGAAAAGAGGAGACTCTTCTCCCACGAAACCATCAATATCCTCGCCATCCAAAGCTCCAACATGCTCATCTTGGTACTCCCGTATGAACTGCATGACACATTTTATGATGCTTTATCAACCAAAACAAAATAGTAAAATTTATGGTATTATATACATACAAATTTGAGATATACCATAACAATACATGATGTTAATGGAAAATGAGTTGGCAGATAACGCTGTACTAAATTTCTGCACATCAAAAACTGTTATGAGCAATAATGATAGGTTACTGAGTATTGAAATGCGAGACAACACTTTGGTAGAATGTAGCGGTATAATAAAAAAAAATTATAAAAATATACCGAGATCGAGAATTTCCATATTATAAATAAAAAAGCAACTTTGCCCAACACACCCAAGAAAATAAGAAGACTGATAATTCTTCCTTTCCAGACAAAACTCTAAAAATAACAATAATAGGTAGATCAAAAGAATTACCGGTGAAAATGTTTGCTATTGGGTGAACCTCAAGCGATATTTTTCTACATAACTTTCTTTCCCTTCAAAAGTAACTTTCACCATGAAGCAAAAGCAAAAATAAAAAATACACAACATTATACACACTAACATTTTCCTATCATTTGTACTTGCCTTTGTAATAAATGTGTTCTAATATGGAATTCCCCTTCCACCAAAATATCCATCTCGTTTAACCATCATATCACAAAAACCAGCATCACATCTGCCCCTGAAAACCAATTGCCACCATGCTCTCTGATAATCCATCTGCTTGTTGATTGTATCTATAAAAAAGAAAGAAAAAAACTCTCTTTCTCTCTCAATACAGTAAGTGATGCCCCCCCCCCCCAATTATAAACTTGGTTAGCCTCTTTCACCTTCTCCTCAAAACAATCATCCAGTTTGGTGAGTAGGTCATTTCTCCGGAGAATTGATGAAGAGAGAGAATAGTTGGTGAAGTGAGATTTGGTCTCCTCGTCTCTGAAAGTTCTGGACGGCCCATCAAGGCTGCACAAGTCATCCCTCGCTTCGTCATCACTGTCGTTGAAGTCGCTGCTGAAATCTCGTTCTTCCTCATCGGCATCATATCCTTCGTCTTGTGCCTTCTCCCTATACGCACTGAAAAATGTATATAATCATAACACATTTATCTTTCTAAAGGCATGACAGCTTCTGCCATATACTATACACTGCACAGTGATGAGTAAGAAAATACACAAACAGTATATAACTACTTATCACTGAAGTCAATTTAACATCAGAGGAAAAGTAGTTTTATTTAATATATTGCAAAAGAGTAATTCACAAAACTATGTCTATCTTGGATTGCTATATACAGTATACATATACTGTACAGTATACTGTATGGGCAAAATTCTATTATTTAATAAATTTGTGTAACTAATATGTTTTATAATAGGGTAACAATAAATAAGCTTACAAAATGTATTTTATTATTCCATACAAATGTTATTATTTGTTTAAATATTGGAGAAATAAAGTGGCAAAGAATAATTCTCCAACTAAGTGGCTATCTTGAATGTAAAAAGAAAGTAGACAATAAGAGATGCTACACCGTCATTAGATGGACTCATTTACAGGTACTGTACAGTATTCCACAATTACGAAAGGATTCCATTCCTGAAAAGCCTTTTCATGTGAAGCACATTTACCCAGACTCCTATTATAAAAGCTGAGAAATCTTCCTGTGGGATGGAATCCCATTTTTTTTTTAAGATACAAAACATGTATTTAATAAATATTTTTGGTACACAGTGATTATAAGAGAATAATAAACATATTACATACAGTACAGTAATAATGAGATTGGAAACAGTGAACAGTATAAAATAATAAGCCAATAACTATATACTGTAATCATATTAATACATTGACTCCAATTATATAATTAAGATGCATTTCCTAAAATAAAACCCTGATGAGTTATTATGTCATCCTAGGCCTAGTTTACAAGGTTAAGAGAGACAAAACTGAGGTATTTCACCAACCTCAACTTAGATAAGGATGGAAGGTACTGAAGACCATTATTCAAATCCTCCAAAGCAGGCATCTCTCCATCTTCATCCCCACAATTTCCCCAGATATCTTCATCCTCCTCACAATCCTCCCATTCCCCATCATCCTCCTCAAATTCATTGACAGGATTTTCAGAGTTGAGCATTACAACAAAGTTATCTGGGAGAGCGCCATCGTCATCAGGATTGCAAACTGCAGTTTCTTCAAAGAAGTCATCATCTAAACCAGCCACAACATCTGGGTCCAACTCTGGCCGTGGACCTGAAAGCAGAATTAGTTTAAGTATACAGTACACATGCTATAATATAATGACAGTTAACAGTAACTTGGATTTTGATAACTCGTAATTCAATATAAATCGGAATGGCAGTAAAATATTAAACTGTAAATTATTTTTAAATTATTATTTACGTGAAATTTATTCTTTGCATAACTTGCTCCAGCTAAACATAAACAAGCACAGCTGTTGATTATAAGATAATTTTTAACCAATTAGATTTTATCTTTTCATATTACAGTAAAGCCTCGAATAACGACGGTAATGTGTCCTCCAATATTGCAGTGTAAGTGAATCATCGTATCATGAATCATTAATTACTTTTAAAATAAAGCACGAACAATGAGATGCATTCCCCAGTGTGACCATTTCATAAGATTTGTGTGGCTTTTTACCCTCTTTACCCCCAAAACAAAACAATTAATGAAAAATGCAAACTATATTCTTTAAATAATGTTTATGAATGCACCTTATACAATATAAATCAATAATAATAAGATCACACAAGAAGAGATGGGACGCTATTGTTGTCTTGTTTACACCCATAATATCAGTTATCCATCTGAAACAAAAAAATAAGACCCTGGTTGTTGCTATAGTAAAATTAATGTAAAAAAAATATGTATGTTTTATTTAAAGTTATTTAATGTACAGTAAAAGTAACCATTTATGTTAAGGAAAAAAGAGAGTGATCGTGGAATGGCAATGTATACTTGCGCCCTCAAGGAAACTGCGTCATTTACCTTATTAAGAATATGTACAAAAGATCATTATTGCTTATTACTAAATATGTATTTGATTGAATTTATGTTTATACATGCGAAATGAACAATACAATTCATTAATAATACATAGAATATTATAACACACAAGAGGAGATGAGACGGCATTGTTTTCGTTCATGTTTCCAACACCCGTGACGAATGACGATGGTTCTACTTCTACACAAGAAACTGAAGAAATAAGACCCTGGTTGTTGCTGCAGTAAAATTAATGTAAAAAAAAATGAATATGTTTGTATTAAGTAATGTTATTTAACGTTAACAAATGGAATAGAAGTAACTAACCATTAATGGCATACTGTATGTGAATACATCGTCATTTCTCAACATAAGAATATGAAAGCAACACTTATTACTCTTCATATATGTTTTAAATAATACTTACTAATGTAAAACAAAAATTCTATTCACAAATGGTGGTAAAGTCTAAAACATAAGGACAGCCAATGAATATTGTGCGAGTTTTTACTCATGATTTCATCCATCATGATCAACTCTGGCTGTAGCTGAATCTTTCCATAAAGATATCATAGCTGTTGCTGAAACTGTTACTGAACCTGAAGTTGTTGCTGAAGCTGCTTATGATGCTGAATTTGATGGTGTAGCTGAAGTTGGTGGTTTAGACCTTTGAATAATGAAGTTGTCAAAAGAACCTTTCACAGCCACTTTCTTGTCCCATTATATATCTTTATGTAGAGGTCATAAGTGTTTTTCACATCCCTGTTTATTCTAAGCATCGTCCTGTTAATGGATCCACTTCAGAAAATATTATGTTCATTGCTTGCTCCATATAATATCCACAGACCTCTCACCTTTTTCATATCGTTTTAACACATCTAGTTTCTGGGCTGAGCTTATACACTTTCTTTTAGCTTTTGATATATATTCCTCTCTTGCTCATGTTGAAAAGGGATGCAAAAAATGCCATAAGAAACCTGAATATTTTTCTCCTTTTCCTGTTCAGATGCTGGAAAACAAAAAGCCCACCACTAACTGTTTATACTAGTGATGCTGGTGTCACCCTCACAAGCCGCGGCAGCCTCCTTGTGCAAAGTGTGTTTTGTTTTTTATTTGTATAATACATATCGGGATTTAGTTATTATTTATATAAAAATGTAATTTTACTTTATTTTTTATAATAATTTTGTTGTAAATGCGAAGAAAATAATGTTGCAAATTGAATTGGGTCCTAAATTAACCAAGGTCTTAAATATGAATCGTTGTTAGTAGAACCATCGTTATGGGAGGCTTTACAGTATTATATTTTCCATTAAAATAATATATGACCTATTTTCTACAGTAGAGAGTCTCTGATAAAACAGCTTTAATGAGGTTTATCATAACTAGGAAGGTATATACAGGTACTCCTCGACTTACGACCTACTCGACATACGACCACCCAGACATACGACCGCCTCAGTCGTACCAAAATTATGTACATATTTTCCAGTACCAAAATGTTTCCGTCCCGTACGAGAGCGTGGTGTGGGCTGGGCTGCCTCGTGGTGTACAGCGTCCACGCCATAGCGCGCTCAGTTGGTGTTTGGCCGTCAATGTTGCTGTAGTGATCGCACTGTGTACTGACAATATTTTCGGTTCTAATTCTCTTTAAAATGACTGGTCAGCATAAAAGTGAGAGTTCTGGTGGTACTCAGAAAAAACAAATGGCAGAGGCATTTAGGCATTTGCTACTATTAATAAGGGGATGCAAATGTTTGAGGAAATGGATCAAAATGTTGAGAGTTTTGCAAAAGTTGACAGAATGATCCAAGATGCACTTGCTTGCTACAGGGAGATTTACAATGAAAAGAAAAGGCAACTGTGCAGTCTAAATTGGACATATATTTTAAGAAGTCCCCCACTGTTGTCTCCTCACGCCCCACCAGTGCTGCCTCTTCACTCCCTAAAGATGATCCAATACCTTCAACAAGCAAGTATGTTAGCCTGTCTGAAGAAAGTGACATTGATGACCCACCCAGCCCTGTTTCCTCTGTTTCATCCAATTAATGTAGTCTCCATGTTTAATTAAAAAATTATTGAGGCCCCATGTGCATTCAGCTGACTACATTAAAGGTACCGGGTAAGTGCACAGTAACACATTATTAATTTTTCTTTACTTATTGATTACTTTTACTGTAATGTATTTAATTTCAGATATTCTATGTATTATTTTTTGCATTTTCGACTTACAACTAATTCGACTTACGACCTGGATTTGGGTACCTAACCCCGTCATAAGTCGGGGACTGCCTGTACAGCAATTAATATCTCTATTAGCAGAATCCCTCTTAACCGAAACTCTCCGATAGCCAGAATTAAAATTTTCTCGGAAAATCATTCTCAAAACAATAATTTTCCAGAAAGATCGGGCTTTGGGAACGATTTTCCGAGGGCCACATTTTCTGGAAAATTCCAAGAAAATTCTTTTAGTGCCCGGAAAATTCCGAGGATGGGGAGGTTTTTTCTGGGTTTGCAAAATGAAAGTCAGGCGATTTTTCCAGAAATTCAGAGAAAATTTTTCCGGTACCCAGAAAACTCCGGAATGAGGGACTTTTTCCAACTTAGAGAGATGACATTATGCATAATTCTGTAAAGTTCTGAGAAAATTCCGGGGATGGGGGATTTCTTTCCGGGTTCGAGGGATGATGTAATGCGCAACTTCTGGAACTTCCAAGAAAATTTTTCTGTTACCCGGAAATTTTTTATTCCCGGAAGTGCTCTGCACCAATTGCTCCAGCTAATAGAGATATAACTGTACTGTACACTGTTTATGCAATCTAGAAATAAAATATATTCAATGTCTGGGTCAATACCATTACAGGAACTCTGAAGGTCCTGTAAAGTTACAGACTCTGACACAATATGTGACATCACAAGATGGCGGATAATTTGTTTTGAGTATTACTACAGAGAAAACTTACAGAGTGAACTGGGAGATACAATATTGTAAATACTTTAAGAGTATCATGCCCCAGATGACAACTACCATCCAAAGATACAAGAGCCTAGTTCAAAGTCACAAATTGTCTGCCACGTATGAACACACCTGTGACAGGAGCAGCTTTATTCAGAAGTCCAATGGGTTCCTCCACAAAAGACTCGAATGCTGAGGATGGCAACAGAAGTTTCTTTCCACGCAGTTCTTTTTTGCCCATCTGGAATACTTGGTGGTTTAGTGGAATTCTAAAAATGTCTTGAAGCAAAAATAATTTGACAAAGGAAAACATAAAAAAAAAAAATTTAATAATGTATTTAGGTACGCGACAATGGTTCAAGTTTGTATATATTAACCCGTAAACAACACACGGTATTTAACTGGTAGTTTGGTAAACTGCATGCTTATGAACTATGGATTTGTGCAAGTTTTTCATTTAAAAAGTATATCACATAATTTACTTTTACAGAGTAATATGTTGTACCTGAAAAGTAACCAATACATGCACACAGAGTCGCCCATCATTTATTATTTAATCATTCTAAATATTGCCCTCCAAAAGATGTGTTTTGGAAAAGGATTCCCCTTCCATAACATGGCTTCAGGTTACCAACTGATTTAGTATCGCTGTTGCTTCACAGAGGCAGCATCATTGATTAGAAGCAAACACTTCCCAAAGACCACTTAAACTGGTGCTCTCTACTCACTCATGCACACTACTGTTTTCTGGATACCCATACCCCATGCTTTTAGTGCATCATGTACCTCATCTTCATCCTCCTTTTTTGTCTTCCCCTTTACCTTATGTAAATCATTAAAGACAATTTCAGACATCTTCAGTTACAAGAAAAAAAAAAATTCTCACACAAAACATTTAAACCTAAAAACTCTGTCTATATTATCATGAAATACAGAAAAGGTTATATACTCAACGTGAAATGAATGAATACCTGGGGGTCTTCTCTGCGGATGGTGTACACTTCCAGTTCTTCTTCATCCCAGTTAACAGCTTCACGTACACCCCTCAGGTGTTGCAGGTAGTTGTAGTCATCATCGAAAAAGATGCCAAATTTCTCCAGTTCAGTTTTCTTGGAATTCTAGGAATACCAAAACAAATGACAAAAATTTATTGAACCAATACAAGTTTCAAAAGTCTAGGACAATAATAAATAAACTTTAAATAATACTGTATATCCATCACTGACCAATGTGATTCTTTATCTTAAAAAGTATAGCATACTGTAATATTCTACTGGTATTTTCTATATACTGTATCAATTTTTAAACAAGTTGAACCTCCCATATCCAGAAACTCGAAAAAAGGCACTGCTTTCAGAAATTTCTTTACCAGATAAACCTCCTTAAGAACGGTGCAGTCGGATTCGTTATAGCACACCCCACTTGTGCTGCTTTAAATATACAAATACCTGTACCTGTTGCAAATGAAGATTTACAGATAATTTTCCTTTCATTTGCATCTGTTAACATCACTGGTTGGCCTTGTTGCCATTGTAGCCCTCTCGCTACCAAACTGAGCTGTGAGCTATGTTATAGTTATTTTTCAACTCTTATTTCTAGGTATATAAACTGACATTTCTTCACTTTTTTTACTAGTTACATTCGAGTGTACACACAATCCTTCATACATAATTTAAAAAAAAAAAGATATAACTATCACAAGGTCAAAAACATAATGGATGTAAAATGTTCTGTGTGAGAGTTAGCACGCTGAGTGGTGAAGGGGGAGGGGGTAGCAGAGTGTGGGAGCCCTGCTGTTGAGGGGTCGGCAGAGGCAGCATCCCAGCTAGGTTGCAGTGAGATGGTGAGCTTTGAGGCCATGCATTCAGCATCTATGCAAATAGCAGTTGTGTTTAACTATCATTTAGCTTTTCCTGAATGGTTTTAGCTGCATTTTTTTCATCTAGATGGTATATAAATGTTACTTGAAGTAGCACAATTCTTAAATAACAAAAGAAGGGTAGCGGTACAGTTTATGAATGCTGGGAAGGAGGTACAGGAAGTTGCGAGTTTGTTTCAGCCTTTTGGCTTACCATGTAAGGAGTTACTTTATATGTGATAACATTCCTAATATTTTTCCATGTTCGGTAACTACAGGAGTAAGGTTTGACTCAACAAGCTTCAGGAACATAACTTGTTCGTAAGGATAGGAGCACCTGTACAGTGTATCGGTAACCTGTTACAAGTACAGTACTGTACTGTATACAGAAGAAATACAGTATTACCTAAATAATGGTAATTTCCTATACTGTATCCAGCTTGGAGGTGGTCCCATGGTTGCAGCCTATGGGAGCTTCAATCTGTATAGTAAAGTTTAAAATACTGTGTACTGTAATCTTAACTTTACATACTGTACCTATTTCATCTTTATACAAGAGAAAATGTCAAAGAAGTATTACTTGCAGCTAAGTAAGCTACACACATACACACACATAATATAAATATAAATATATATATATATATATATATATATATATATATATATATATATATATATATATATATATATATATATATATATATATATATATATATATATATATATATATATATATATATATATATAGGCAGACTCAGCCAATAACTATACACCTACATCTTCAGATGGTTGTAAGACAGCTTGGGGAGCAGTTTCATCGGTAACCAATGGATCCCGCTGACTGCGAGGCACAACCTTAAAGGTGTGCAGGACATCGCGTCGCTTATCTATGAATCTTTTGCCTTTCTTACCCTGGATAAAGAAAAGAGAAAATATAAGAATAGTTAAGGAATACTGTACAGTACTACCCAACCAATACAGTACATATTGCTCAGCAGTTCATTCATGCTAATATCAACAAGGTAACAGTAGCGGAGACAGCTACCACCGGAAGCAGTTATTTGATTTCATTCATTTCCTCCACAAATTTTGTTTGGATGACAACAATAAAACAATACGACAACTTTTTCCTTAATTTTTTGTTTTTGTTTTCCTTTATCTTCAATCATAAATCACCTGTAATGAGCTGGGCATGAAAGAAGAGGGAAATTACCACTTCCTGGATGCTATCGCTCTATCTACCTCAATATTAAGGTAATTTCCTTCCATTAAATATACCAGAGTGGTCCAGGGGCCAGAACCCCCCCTGTTAGGTTCTGTGTAATGTCATATTGTTTTTATTACTTACTATCATCCAAACAACTTCTGTGGAAAAAATTAACTAATCAAACAAATGCTTCTTGTGTAAGCCGCCTTCTCCACTATTACCTTCATCAATATGCTTACAGCCACAGCCACCTACTGTTTTCCAACTAATTTAAGTAGTTTACCCATTCTTTCTAAAATGGTTTTAGACCATGCATTAAAAAAATGTTTGTGGCAATATCGTTCCCAGAAAAAAAAAAAACAATATTACGTCTAAGGAAGCAATGTATATACTCAACCTGCTTTTTTTTATGTAAGGTAGAGTAAATATTACCTGGTCTTTTTTATGTAAGGTAGAGTAAATATTAATCCAGAATTTCTACCACCACTGCAAGAGTTTTCAGTCAGCTATCATTATTTGGTACTTATAGTATATGAACACACAATTGATATTACCTAGACCTATAGAGCCTATATTAATTCCTTCCTTCAGGAGTAAATATTCACTCAAGGTATATTCCAAAGACTAAAGCTTTGTTTTTGGCTAAAATATCGTCACCCAGAAGGAAATGGACACAAAGTTTTACGAAATAATTATATGCGAGTAGTCTTGAATTAAATTAAACCTAACCTAACCTAACCTAACCTAACTTAACCTAACCTAACCTCAATGGAAATTGTGTGAGAGGAGACTACCTGTATACCCTACCTGACCAAACATCTCGATATTATCCAGGAATTAATTTTAGGAGAAAATAACTATACTGTAAGATTCCGTGCACGTAACTAAGTTGATATTAAACTTAAAATACATAAAACATTACGATATAAATGTGTAAACTGTATAAATGTTTGACCTTACCATTATTTACGTCTCCCTACACATGCTGTGTTTACTGACGAGTGGAGGGGAGGTAGACAGTGTTAAAATAATCCACGAACACCTCCGGGAGATTATCTATTTTATCAGACTACACAAACAAATTAAATATAATCTGGCCTAAACAAAAAACTACAATATGATTATTTAGTTAGATTAATTTAGAATTATGAGGTTTATAAAAGTAGAGTAATGAATTAGAGATAGTGGTCGTGGTATATATCCAGCATGAACTATTCTGCAAGAGGCTGTAGACACCGGCCGACACTACCACACAGTTGGCTCATCATCAAGAGATATTCCAATCATCAATAGGTTGTGTTCTGTTATTTCCTGGAGGATTCGAGAATTTCCTAAGAGATCCTTTCCCAAACACAATTTCGAATTGGGTATTAATTGTTGAACTGTTATTTTTCGATTACTCTTTTTTATATGTGTGTGGTATTTAATGCCCAACAAGCTGCACAGACATATTGTGGTCTACCTTAATAAAGTCTATGTTATTCAGCTAAATTCACCAGGAAAATTAGACGTAGACTATTCATCTACAACACACACACAAACGAATTGCCATGAACATCACCTTCTCCAGTGAATGGAAAGTGGCTTATGTGAGTCCTATCTTCAAGAAGGGCGATCGTCACTCCACGAACAACTATAGACCGGTGAGCCTGACCAGTTTAATATGTAAAGTACTTGAGAGTATTATCAGAGATGCCGCGATGGAACATCTAATACGAAACAATCTTGTAAAGGATTGTCAACACGGTTTTCTGCCGGGGCGCTCCTGCTTAACACAATTGCTCAAGGTTTTGGATATTTGGACCCATATTCTGGAACGGGGTGGTAATATCGACAATATTTACCTAGATTTTGCCAAGGCTTTCGACAGTGTACCCCACGAAAGGCTAAAAATCAAACTGGAAGGGTACGGAATTCGGGGAAATGTCCTAGCGTGGATAGAAGACTCTCTACATGACCGCAAGCAGTGTGTGGTAATTAATGGCACGAAATCGTCATCTGTACCTGTCACAAGTGGGGTACCACAGGACAGTGTATTGGGCCCGCTGTTGTTTGTTTGTTTCATAAATGACATGCCTGACGTTGTACACTCCTCCGCACAAATGTTTGCCGATGACGCCAAGTTATTTCGGGAAATTAAGAACCAAGCGGACTGTGAAGAACTGCAGAAGGACCTCTGTGGGCTCCAGGAATGGTCGAAGAAATGGCTGCTGAGATTCAATGTCACGAAGTGTAAGAGGATGCACCTGGGGCGTACCAACGGTAAGGGGGCGTATCATATGTCCCAACGGAATGAAGAAACTGCACTAGTTGACACTGAATGTGAGAAGGACCTAGGTGTGTATGTTGACAATGAGCTGAAGTTATCGGGCCATCGCGAGAAGAAGGTAAACCAGGCAAATAAATTATTGGGTCTTATAAGAAGGTCGTTCAGATATCTAGACCGTCCGTCCCTCGTAACGATCTTCAGGAGTGAAGTGCTTCCCCATCTGGAGTACTGTCACCCCATGTGGTCCCCGAGATATGCTAGGGACTGTCAGTTGGTTGAAAATGTTCAAAGGAGGGCCACCAGACTGGTGCCTGCACTTCGGCACCTCAGCTCCCCTGAGAGATTGGAGCGCCTGAACTTGCCAAGCTTATATTACAGACGGGCAAAGGGGGACCTAGTTGAGGTGTATAAGCATCTCAGGGGGCACTACTCAGTTGAGTGTCCTTACTTGGAGCTGGCGGACGCTCGCCCCACAAGGGGTCACAGCTCAAGATTGAAGAAGCCGCGAGTCCAGAAAACCGTGAGGGAAAACTTTTTCGGAGTGAGGGTTGTAAACTCTTGGAACAATCTACCAGAGAGTGTTGTGACGGTACCGAGTGTGAGCTCTTTCAAGAGAAGACTTGACCAACACTGGAGCGGGTTCAGGTACATTCAGGAGCCGGTGCATACCCAGTATTTGCCAACAGTGCGTGACAGAGACGTGACCGATCGCCCGGGCGGCTAGCGAGCCGATCTTTTGGTGAAGAAGATAAATGAAAAGGAAAAGTAATCAGAGACGTGACCGATCGCCCAAGCGGCTAACAAGCCGATCAGTGGCGAAGAGGATAAAAGTAAAATGTTGTCACTGAGACGGCCCACCGCTCATAATAATTCTTCTCCACAGCATGTACTCTGCCTTCAGCCATCTTCCCATTGATATTAATATAAACCTATTGGAATTTTGAAACATCGGAAGCATCTAAAATTTCATTAACCAATTCTAAACTCCTAACCTCTAGTATTATTATCATCTTGGCAGTCTGTCAATATTCTCTCTTGCTCTTCTGCATCGGGTTTAGCCTATTCACATCAAGCCATATTAAAATTTTTTATCTCAATTTACTCTCCCAATTCTTATACTGACACACACACACACACACACATATTACAGTTCTGCTGTACTCTAAATACTCACAGCGACACACAGCTGTTTTTGCATGTGTCAACAAGAAGCAACCACGTGTCAACAAAGGGCCACGGTATTAATGTTGGAGAAGCGTACATGCCACCCACCTACACACATACCTCCATAGCCACGGTCCTGGCTCAAAGATATATATATATATATATATATATATATATATATATATATATATATATATATAGAGAGAGAGAGAGAGAGAGAGAGAGAGAGAGAGAGAGAGAGAGAGAGAGAGAGAGAGAGAGAGAGAGAGAGGTGTATTCGATTCGTGAAATCGCCATGTAAGTTCACATCTCCAGAATATAAACAAGACAGAGTAGCTAAAGAACAACGGGAAACACTAAGACGATTCAAGGCAGCCCAACATCGATCCAGTACAGTGGTACCCAATTATCTCTTAGCTATGCACTGGGTTCGAGGCACTCGTGGCCCGGGCAGAAGTGGGTTGGGTAATTTATCCGGTGTGACCTTACTAAGCTTAGCAGGTTTTCTAAGGGTAATCCACTGGTTTCTTTGTGTTCTAACTCCGGACAATAGAGCTCATTAAAACAGTAAAAAAAAAATAATAATTGCCAGAACTAAACATAATGGAAATAGTCTTTGAATTGCTTTCTTGCGCTATATTTGGTTTGGATCGACATCTTGTTTACCACTGTTTGTGTGTCTGTACTGTATTACATGTACTCGTATGCTGAACCACATGTGAATTTGTATTACGATTTACGACTTAATAAATATTACTTACAGTCCACAGAGAGCCAATTAAGTCAGTCAGCGCTTCTAACCGGATTCCCATTTTCTATAAGAGTAATATAACCTCCCTCTCTACTTCAAAATGTTTCACTCACAGTCGATTTCCACAATTAAAGTAATATCGAAAAAAAGAGTTACGCTAATAAATTATACAAACTTATAAACTGTAAAAACCTAAACAGATATGATAGATTCAAGGCATCATCGATAAATAAATAATTTGTTTACCCTTCCAGTACAAAACTTAATTTAAACGGATAAAAACTGGATTAAGACCAAAGGCGTTGACAAAAGTGTTCAAATATACACACCATCCTGGTCCTAGAGACGGATTGGGAGTTAGGGACTGGGAGTTAAACGCGTCAGTCTTCCAGTGGAGCAGTGAGAGTAGTGTGCCTTAATATCTTTGCTCTACAAATCTCTTCACATTGTACAGTTTAGTCTAGTGAACGGAACTGTAAAAATGTCTCAAAGAACGATCGTGCAGTGTTTTCTTGGTGTGGGAGTGCTGTTAGTGTTCCTTAATGTGGTTGAAGGTAAGAAAAATATGTGACCAGACAGGATGTGAGAGTTCCATGGTCGAGATGTTAACAGATTTACGTCCGTATAAGTGACCTTAACCCATAATATATTGATTCTTCCTCGGTCTCTAGAGTTAGCATTGATGAATATTGGAGGATTAAGCGAGGAAAGATTAATCCCTAAAGTAAAATCCAGCAGCAGCAGTAAGGTAGGAAGGTGTGTAGAAAACATGGCAGCTAAAAGTGAAAGCCAGACGAACACTTTTGGGGTTAATTTTACCACCCAGTTTCTTTCATAGGGAGAAACAATGCTCGAAAATTCTTTGTTGTGGGGATTTTTTCTGGGTGTTGGTGTTAGTTTAAATTTTCTATGAACCTATGAGGTATTAGTATAGAAGAGGGGCGTGGCGTATGGACCAGGTTAGCGTGGAAATATTATAGTTCGTTTACAGGGGCTCGTTAAATAAACATTCCACAATTCATTATCTTTGAGTAATTTGTTTTAATATTGTTTTAATTTGATTCCATAGTATGTTTACCATTGCAAGTTTCTATCTGTCGAATGTAAACAAACACAGGGTTACCATAGTGCACAAAACCTGACGAATCCCTGTAAATGCACATGTGAAGGGAACTGTACATGTGATAACGCTGGGATGATGTACTGTACAGTATAGCAAATACGTACAGGCTTGGATAGTATCTACGAGCTAGGAATGGGATGGGATAGTTTAAGGACCGATGGATAGGGTAAGATAAGAGACGGATAGGTTGGATATGTAATTTTGAAACGGTTTGACTAGGATAATGTATAGAAACCAGGGATAACGTCTGGAAACTTTGATGGCGACTGTAACAGCTTGGGATATCGATTGGAAGCCCAGAATAATTAACGGATACTTGGGATAGTGGATAACCCTGGCTGGAGCGACTTCTGTACTCGTACGTACAGTTAAACCCAGGGCCAAGTGGGTGGGGGTTGGGGGAGGGGGGTTTAAAGGTCATTTCCCTGGCGGCTGCTTTAACCCCGCGCATTATTCAATCATATGTTGGAATATAATCTTTTACGCTCCTCTTGACGTGAACTGTCGATTTGTCATGTTATTTTGAAAACTTAAATATTATTAAAAGAAATGATTTTTACATATACACTCATTATTCAATTGTATATTTTAAGGGTTTGAATCGTATTGTAAATCTAAAGAAAAAATAGGTATATGTACCATTTTAAATAGTCATGGTAGACGAATATCCAAATTTTACAATATATATTTTTTCCACTGACTTTGTACTGTATATACTGTATTTATATATATACAGTATATATATATACCAGTGCTGGAGGTACACAAAACAATTCAATATCAGTGGAGAAGTTAACTTAGTTACCCCTTACCGCCGCCCACTTGACTCATTCCGACCCCCTATCCCCAACCCCCTGTGTGTGTGTTCTGGATGTTCTAACACAATATTCCTTGGTTGTGTATATTTTAATCTTATTTTTGTGTTTGGCCGCAACCTGTAGCTTTTTCGATGTTATTTGGTCAGTTTTCCCTCCTCTCTAGCTTATTTTTAGCGAGGAAGTGAAAGTGAGGAGAGAAGGACGAGTTAGGGGTGAGGTAGGAGTGAGGAGGCGTCCTTGGTAGGGTAACGGTAAGAGGTAGCGGGATTGCGATAACGTGAGAGAGGAGTAAGGATGGATGAGGGAGTTGGCGGGGGAGCGGTGGGTGGGAAATAAGATATAGATGAGGAAGGGAGGGAAAGATGGGTGGGGGAAGAGGTAGGGAAAGAGAGATAAAAGAGAAAGGAAGATTATCAGCTTATTTCCTCAAACGTGGAAATCGTCTCTCTCTCCTCCTTACCCTTTCACCCTCCTTCCTCTTCCTCCCCCTCTGCTTCTTCTCTGACACCTGCTGTCCAGGATATAGTGTTCGTTACTCTGACTGGAGCCGAGAAGACACACCCACTTATTTATTTAGAGGTTGCTACGGTCGGGTCTCTGTGTACCTTTGGCACCATTCAGGACGTCCTTGGTGGTGGTGCTGGAGTGAGGACAGTTGGACACACACACACACACACAGACACACACACACACACAGACACACACACACACACACACACACACACACGAGAAAATGTAAATACATCTTGCCTTCACTTCACCATTTAATGAGGACCGCTATAGAGCGTCAGTATACAAGACCTTAAACTTTAAAGAAACACTCATGCCTCTCAGGGTGTCAGAGAAAATGTAACATCCTTGTAGATAATTTTAGGGGAAATTACGTTAAACTAATGATAATCAACTTTTATTTGAGAGTCTAACCTTTGTGGATTTCTCATCCTTGGGTGATGGGTCGAGTTGACTTGAACTTTAGCCCTTACTCCAAGGCCACGTAACGCCTTTTTTGGCTGTGTATGTTGGTGGAGTTTGTTTACGAGAAAGATCAAGAAATCTTTTTTAGAAATATATATTTTTTAACATAATTACACAAAAATCATACTTGATACAAAGCTTTATAAGAACCTAGAGGCCATTTAAGATGCTCGTTAGTTATTTGAGATAATATATTTTGCTTATTGGAGCCCTCTGACCTGCAGGGGAGGAGTGCCCTGGTCAAGGTGGGCTTTTACATGGTGCTTATGGTGTGTTGTAAGGGAAAAATTACAGCTAAAATATTGACTTGTTTTCAGTATTAATAAAAACTTAATCACACAAGAGAAAATTCTTTATACAGTTGACGATATTGGTGCATCTTTGACAAACTTTTTCATCATTATTATTATTAATATTATTATTATTATTATTATTATATTATTATTATTGTTATATTCACTAATAAAACCAAATATTCCTTTAATTTCTCTACTAATCCCTCCTTCGTATATGCCTCCCTCAGGTCAGGTCCGGAGATGTTACTCCTGTAGGTCGCGGGGGAAACTGGGTGACTGCAAAGACCCAGCTCGATTCAACGCCTCCCGTCTAGTGCCAGGGGTGGAAGCCGTGCCCTGTGCCTCGAGCTGGTGTTCTAAGATCATTGAAGGGAAGAAGGATGGTGAAGGTATGTGTTGATGTGTGGAATATTTTCTTTATTTACTTGGTATCATATTTTTTTGCATAATGCTACATGTTCTTATCGTAATCCAGTAAGCATCTTATCAAGGTTATATTCTGGGTCAACGTTTTTTCTCTCGGTATCAATTTTTCTTCGTCAAGTTTTCAAAAATAATATCATTTCATTTCTTAACCTGAATTCTTCTCCAATCAAATATTTCTCGTTATATTAATTTTATTTCACAATTATCTTGCCGTTTCATTTTCTTGTATTTATCTCAGTCTTCTAATCTTATTGTCCTTTTTCTTATCCATTTATTTTCATATACAGTATTATCTATTTTAACTCTTTTTAACTCGAGTTCTAGCAAATAATTATTCTATCCTTATTTTATTATTATTTTTTCCAACTAGTGTTATGTTTCCTTTGTGTGTGTGGGCTTGTTTTCGTGATTCCATTTTCATTTACTGCGTTTCCTTTCCAGATCACGACCTGGCAACTGAGAGGCAGTGTTTGCAGAGATCACCACCAGATAGTATCCAGCGTTGTTCCGAGGCCTTAGTGGGCAATAAAAAGGTAAGATAGATAAACAGATAGATAGATAGATAGAGAGAAAGAGACGTGTACGATTTGTTGTTTAAAGTAACTTATTTCTGAGAGACCTTGAAGGTATAACTATGTAGCTTACGTAATCATTTCCTTTGTAAAGCCCAAGTTTATTATCATGTGACAGACGATTGAACATATGTACTTTATTTCCACTATTGTATAATCTTTCTCAACAAATCCATTTTAGACATTTGAACTAGTCAAGGTAGGCAGGATCCACGACCATAACTGGATGTGTAATTTGTTTCAGGTATTTACCATTATAGTAATCCACTGTTACATATATCCTCCACAGGTGTTCATCTGCTTCTGTCGGGGTGACTTGTGTAATTCAGCTGTTGGGGTGTCGCCTTCCCTGTTACTACTGCTCGTGGGTCCTGCCGCTCTGCTGCTTCACCACTTCCGGTTGTGGTGACCGCCTTCCATCAACTTCCTCCTCAACTGTTAGAACGTCGCTCTCTCTCACCGCCCTAGCACTTCACAGCTGTTCAGACGTCCTTTGCCACCCTTCTCTACATCCTACTGCTCCTACACCCCAGAGGACCTCCGTACATCAGCCTCCCCTTCCACCTGTCCTCTACCACACCATACTCTTCTGTGACCTGGAACCAAGCAACCCCAGGAGTCGCCCAAACCCCCAAACTATTCTCTTTTCACGAGCTGGGGGTCGTCGACAATGTCCCTCTTGTATTATTTGGGGGTGGAGCGAAGAATAGCTTTTCATTGTTCTGATTTTCCGTCTCTCGTGGCTATGATTACTATTTCTGTCCGCCCTCTTTTTTTTCTCTCCTTCGTCTGCAGATTCTTTAAACTATATTTAGATCTTCCATGACTTTTTAAAATTCCTTCACCCACCATTCTTCTTCCGTATCATCTATATAGTCACTTAATCTCTCCTTCTTCACCTGTATTGAGCAATCTTCCATCTACTTGAATTATACTTCATCTAATTTTTTCCTTAAGCACCTAAAAAACCCACTGTATGTTTTACTATACTTTTTTACACCAGCTGTTGCCACGTGAAATACTCTCAGATATCCTCTCTTCCACCAACTGTGAGCACTGAACTATTCTCATTTATCTTCTCTTATCATGTCAACTATCCACACCCTTCCTCTTTAAGACTATCTTCAGGCCAAGAATAATTAACTCCGGGTCCCGCCAGAGTTATCTCCTGTGATGCTGTGTTAACCTATACAGTATTCCATTTATTATTATTATTATTATTATTATTATTATTATTATTATTATTATTATTCATTTTATTATTATTATTAATCATAAATTTATGATATTGATAAAATATTAAAAATTTTCTTTGTCTAATTAATGTAACAGTTAATAATTATTTCTTAATTAGGTATAAGTGCATTTAATGTGAGGAATTTCTTAATAACTCTTTTGTTCTTTGAGTTTAGTAAGGTGCGAAAGATGGAGTTGTTGTTGTTGCTACCAAAATTTACCAATTGGCTACTGCTAAAATCCTGGTCTGTATTACCTTGTCTGAATAACAAAGAAGAAAGTAATCTACTCAAATTATCTGATAATATAATATGTCACTATACTGTTAACTGCTGGTGTAATATGGATAGTTATACAAAGTCGCATAGGTAGTGGATATTACTAGGTTGTGCCCTGATATACTGATAAGAACAGCTGGATGTTGTCAATCATCGCTGTATTGTGGTGTACTGATGATAAATAAAAATTTTCTTACGAGATATATATATACGGCTTGCAATGTAAACCAAGTGATAATAGACTTATATTATACGTGAATTAGAAGACAAAAATGTACTGTATATGTGTATATAACGTGTGTGAGACGTCTTCACTTTCTCCTTTATTGTGATGTAAAATAAATGCTTTATATAAAAAAACTTCCTTATTCTTCGTGTTTTCTTCTCTAACTTAAATGTTAAATCTGACAAGAGAGAAAGTGAGCCAAATCCAACTCTATATTTTATACAGAAAACAACTGCTTTAAATGTTTGTGTTACCGATTTACCCATCGGATATGGTCACTGTTATCAGAGTTATTTACAAATAATTCTTGTAATTTTTTTGTGGCCTTAGTGTTTCCTGTGTTAAGTAAAGCCTGAAAATTATTGAATATCATAAAGTTTTATATAAGGATAAAAAGATTCTTGAAACCTGTATTCTTTCAGTTTCATTATCTTGTGTAAACTCTCAATAATGACATCAATTAGCACCAACCATCTGCCTATGAAGGATTCTGAGAGGCCCCCATGCCTTCGCTATCAATGAAGGGTCACTTAAATAATAACCATAACTAGCACAAAGTGTTCGTAACTTGCTAAAGAGTGATTGTTCTATGATGTAAAACAACCATAGTGTAAAACATCATGTCTCAAATATCTCCATTCCTTAGCACGGTGAACAGACAGACAATGACACCTGTTTAATTCGTTCCTGCGTCATTCATTATTAAAAGAACTGTATTCAATTACTAATGCTTTGTGTCGTCATTTCCTTTCGTTCACTGTTTCCTTCCTTTTCAAAGAATCGCTTACGGATGTGTTTTAATCGGTTGATATATTGGGATTTATTTAGTAAAAGGCCACGAATCACCTAGAAGTTAAGTTCCACCAGGATACGAGTTAGGGAGTTATTGAAACATACTACCTGAAGTTTCACCGAAAAATATTTGATTTTTGGAATACGTAGCTCAGCTTATCGATAAATTTTCGTTTATCTAAAGTTCCTGCGATTTTTATTGTGGTACAAAATTCTGGGAAGTAGCTGATATTAAGCACAAATTTATAATAAAAAAATATACAACAATGATGTGACGGGAATTGACGTTGTTATGAAGATACGAAGCTAAAACTTAAAAGGTGTCGTTAGCATACAATACTTTAGACCTTTAGCGGGAACCAGCTTAAAAAAAAGTAAACATTAACTAACTCAGTATTTTGTAAAGTAAAAGGATATCATGAAGCATTTTAGTTTGCTTAATATAATTTGTTACCCACTGTAAACGTGTTAGGCTTGTATTCTCCCAGACAATGTTATGCCACATGGTATTTGTTTAATCTTGTGAGGAGACAATGTGTGATTCTCTCCAGTTTTCGGTCACTTTATATAGATTTAGGTAAGAACGCCATTTGTTTTTATTATTTACTGACATAATGTAAGTCTGTTTTGGATATAAACTACATAGAATTGAATGAGGTGGTTGTTTTTTGTTTTTCTTTGCAACAAAAGCTAAGGCTCTGTAATTGTACTGTCCAAGTTTGTTTTTAATTCGAGTGTTTCTTATGCCAATGTCTTTTTCTTGTTGATTATTCATATTTTACAACTTTAAGAAAATAACGTATATCTGGATAATTAAACTTCGTCTAGTATCCATTCAGCGTTATAAATACATTTTCTTAAGTTTTCCATAAAATACAAAATCAATTTTTTTTGAAGGTTGATTTTCTGTTGTTCAATTTTAAATGGATAACTTAGATAATAAAATACGTTTAATCTATTGAACGGAACATTACCATCAGTCGATTATAAATTCGTGAAGTGAATCTTTACTACTTTGCTTTTAAATCTACAGTTTATTGATTAATTTTTCGAGTAATTTTCCGCTTTTGATTTGAATTAACTTCTATCGTACACTTTTACATTGTCTTCTGTTAACAGGTTTAATAAATTACGATGTTTATTAAGGCCTGTATTTCTCTTAAAATTTAATTGTCGATGAAGTGAGAGTACAGACCCAGAATACGACATTAAATACCTAAGCTCATTTAAGGAATATTCAAAGTCTACTTAAAACAGACGAAATTTTTAATGAATCTTGTTACTCTTCTGAAGTGAGAGATTTGGGGAGACCTACTGTAGAAGGTTCTGACGGTGGAGTTATTATGAGGTTCAATTGGATAAGGTTCTGAGGACAGGGTTCTTGTGAGATGTTACCAGAGTTACTGACAGTGTGGGTTCTGGTAAAAGAGTCCCGAGGCGATTTTATTATGGTGAGGTTCTTGTGGGTTCTCGGTTCAATATGGATTTCCTCGGTTAGGTACGAAGGTTATTGTTGGCTGACGATGATAGCTGAACAGGTACAAACTTAGACATACAGCTTAGGTTCAGATTTAGGAAATTAAGAACCAAGTAGACTGTGAAGAGCTGCAGAAGGATCTCTGCGAGCTTCAAGAATGGTCGAAGAAATAGCTGCTAAGATTCAATGTTACGAAGTGTAAGAGGGTGAACCTGGGACGTACCATCGGTAAGGAGGCGTATCATATGTCCCAACAGGACGAAGAAATTGCATTAATTGAGAATGAATGTGAAAAGGACTTAGGTGTGAATGTTGACAATGAACAGAAGTTCTCGGACCATTGCCAAAAGAAGGTGAATCAGGCAACTAAATTATTGTTCTTATAAGAAGGTCGTTCAGATATCTAGATGGTCCGTCCCTCGTAACGATCTTTAAGAGTGAAGTGATTCCCCGTCTGGAATACTGTCACCCCATATGGTCCCGAGATATGCTAGGGACTGTCAGTTGATTGAAAATGTCCAAAGGCGGGCCACCAGACTGGTGCCTGCACTACGGCACCTCAGCTGCCCTGAGAGATTAGAGCGCCTGAAATTGCCTAGCTTATGCTACAGACAGCCAAGGGGGACCTAATTGAGATGTATAAACATCTCAAAGGGCACTACTCAGTCGAGTGTCCTTACCTGGAGGTGGCGGACGCTCGCCCCACAAGGGGTCACAGCTCAAGGTTGAAGAAGTCGCAAGTCAGGAAACTGTGAGGGGTACTTTTTCGGAGTGAGAGTTGTGAACTCTTGGAACAATCTGCCAGAAGTGTTGTGACGGCAACTAGTGTGAGCTCTTTCAAGACCAGACTTAACAAGCATTGGAGCAGGTTCAGATAAATTCAGGAACCAGTACATGCCCAGTACTTGCCAACAGTGCGTAACAGAGACGTGATCGATCGTCCAAGCGGTTAACGAGCCGATCAGTGGTGAAGAGGATAAAAGTAAGTAAAAGTAGACATACAACTCAGGTACAGATTTAGACATACAACTCAGGTACAGATTTAGACATACAACTCAGGTACATATTTAGGCATACGTTACAGATGTAGTAACTGCTAATTGACGACATAACAACGCATTTCCCTGTGTTGATAGAGCGCTGTCATGAATTCCAGGAAATTTACTGAAATACTGTATCATGAAGTACATAGATTCTACTATTAAGCATAGAGATTATTATGTGAAGTAAAAAGACTCTGTTGTGAAATACGGTATAGAGAAAGTCGTTCTATAGGTCCTTGCCTCACCAGGAAAATTACTTAATATATTTTTTAAGTTTTTAATCGTTTTGCATCCATGTTCTTCGCGTTTCAGAAGGGAGCATCACACATACAGGGGAATATACACAATATAGCTCCTATGTCACTGGCATCTGAGAGTGAAGATGTGGTGTCAGGTCGGCTTTACGTGATACGCCATTGATGTCTCGGCTTAGCAGGATCGTGTATACAAGTGACTTCGTGACTTCACTCCCGCGGACTATTACGAGCCAGCGGCGGCACGTACTATGCCGTGTGATACCCTACTTTACAGCTGTGGCCGCGTGCAAGTTCTAGTCGAGAATTAAGCTTCTTTTTAAGTTCTAAATTGTAAATGCGCTCACGTTTAATCTACCTTCACTTTGAGTTCAGTTCTTAAACAAGATCTAAGTTCTAATATAAACTTTAAACTGAACCTGACCTTCTGCCAAGTTCAGCTTAGTTTGTCTTTTAATCTGGAGCTTCGAGGTTCCAACCTAACCTAACCTAACCCAAGTCTGTGGGAGGAGAGGGTTCTTAAGGTTCTTTCTTATAATGCACTATGTATGTATGTATGTATGTATGTATGTATGTATGTATGTATGTATGTATGTATGTATGTATATATGTATATATGTATGTATGTATGTATGTATGTATGTATATATGTTTGTGATTACAGAATTAGACATGTCTATATATATAAATATATATATATATATATATATATATATATATATATATATATATATATATATATATATATGTGTGTGTGTGTGTGTGTGTGTCACTGAGGCACTAGGATCTCTCTCCCCTCCAAAAAACTAGCTGGCCAATTGAACTAGACAGGTGTACGTATAAATAGCTTGGCAACAGGTAGAAACGTGTGACAGTGATGGAAATCTGATTACAGGTGATGGGAGGTGAAGATGACAGTGAGTAAGGTCAAGTTGATTGTCAAGGTAACAGTGACCAAAGTCAGAGTCACGATGGAGAGACAAACGACTAGGGTTTATGACACTACTTGAGAATAGTTCAAGAGTGTGTGTGTCAGAGGAGTTTGAGCGAGGGTGCAAGGGGCGAGTGACAATTTCCCTGGGTGTAGTCTGGCTCTTATAGGTTAGGTTAAGAAAATAACAACAGGCCTGTTAGCCCATACTGGGCTGTCCCATTTACACCCAACCCCTATTGCTCATTTATCTATCCAACCTATGTTTGAAGCTATCCAGCGTATTCGAGTTAATGATGATATTTGGTAACTTGTTCCACTCGTCCACTACTCTATTTCCAAACCAGTGTTTACCTATTTCGCGCCTAAATCTAAATATGTCTAATTTATAACCATTGTTACGAGTTCGCTCCTGGTTGGATAGTTTGAGTACCTTTGTAATGTCCCCTTTGTTCAGCCCTGACTTCCATTTATACACCTCTATCATATCGCCCCTCGCTCTACGTCTCTCGAGGGAGTGCAAATTAAGATGCTTTAACCTGTCTCTGTACTCAAGGTTCCTAATGCCCGGATTAGCCTTGTCATTCTCCTCTGAATTCCTTCCAAGGATTCCATATCCATTCTGTAATACGGTTTGTTTATGTT